CTTTGGAGGCATTTGTCGATTCTCTCCGTCGATTGTCTGTTTAAGTGAGACGAAATGTAATGATGATCATGTAAATAAGAAGTTAAGTAGATTAGGTTATGACGTGGTCAATTGTATCCCCAGTTGGGAGGGTTGTCGGCCTAGCTTTTGCTTGTACCTCTAATGTCCACTGTCGAGTGGTAGGAGAGGATGCTTTCTACATATTTGTTGAGATTCAACATCTAGTTTGGGGTAGTGTGGCTGTTTTTTTTGTCCATTTAACCTATGATGTAAATACTCGTTGTTTTCAATTCAATGAACTTATCAGTTTGATCTCGTCGTGTTTAATTCCCATCATAGTTATAGGTGACTTCAATTGCATATTGTTTGCATATGAAAAAATAGGGGGGACGTCCACCATCATTCACTGTCTTGGATTAGTTTCACTCCTTCATTGATTCTGCAGGTTTATTGGACTTGGGTTTCAAAGGCCCCCATTTCACTTGGTGAAATCATCAAGGACTTTCTACTCATATTCTAGAACGAATTGATCGTGGTTTAGGTTCTGAACTAATCATTCATACTTGGCTGAATGTGCAGGTCTCGGACTTGACTGACCTTGGGCCTGATCACAGGATGATTCTCTTGTAGTTGGTTCTGGATCAGGTAAAGGCAAACCTCGATTTCAGTTTGATAAACGATGTACTCCGAATGATGAAGCAAAGACCATTGTGTTGCGGACCTGGCAAGAGGTGTTTGCTGGAACGCCACAGTTCCAACTCTTCTCCACTCTCAAGTCTGCATGACATCATTTTATTGCTTGGGCACGCCAGGGGACTTACTAACTCAGCAAGACTCATTAGAGAGCTTCGCCAAGCAATAGAGGCTGCAAGGGAGAGCTCACCCATTGACTGGACCACCATACAAGGTCTGGAATCGCAACTAGCTCTAGCCTACCAACAGAAAGAAGTTTATTGGAAGCAAAAATCAAGAAATAGTTGGTTGCGGGAAGGAGATGCAAATACTAAATACTTTCACATCGCGACAGCTCAACGACGGCGTCAAAACCAAATAGAATTACTCTGAGACGAGTATGGAGAGATCCACATTGAGGAACCAGCTAAAGGTAATGTCTCAGTTACCTATTTCCAAAATCTCTTTTCCACTAATGGAAACCTATTTCATTTTCTAGTGACAGGCCTTGGACTACCTCGAAAGGTAAGCTCGTCATATAACAGATTTCTTACTGCAGCGGTTTCCAGAGAAGAGATTAAACAAGCAGCTTTTAGTATCGGTCCTTCCCAAGCCCCGGGATCGAACGGATTCACTGCTGCCAGTGCTGCGTTCTACCAAATATATTGGGACATCATTTATAACTCTCTGTGTGTGGCTGCTATGTCTTTCTTTAGATCAGGTCGAATGTTACACAACTTTAACCATACATTGATAACTTTGATTCCCAAGGTTCCCAATGCAGACTCAATGAAACAGATGCGCCCAATAGGGTTATGCCAGGTCTTTTATAAGATCAACTCCAAGGTTTTATCTTCTCGTTTGAGTCAGGTTCTTCCTTCTGTGGTTAATGACACTCAGAATGGTTTCGTCAAAGGAAGGGACATCTCAGATAACATCCTTATCGCCCAAGAGATAAATGGATGGCCCTGAAGCTCGATATTGAAAAAGAGTACGACCGAGTGGAGTGGATTTATAATGCTCTTGCATCGCCGCAATTATATGGTCTCAAAATTCATCGCCTAGCTCCAACGAATTCACATCTGTTGTTTGCTGACGATACTTTTTTTTTTTTTTAGAACTTCTTCCGCGAAATGCTCCCAGATCCTTCAACTACTTAGCCTCTATGAGCCAGCTAGTGGACAGAAAATAAATTGCAGAAGTCAAAAGTCTGCTTCAGCTCTAATGTTTCAATCCAAGAAGCATCAGATTTGGCTGAGCATTGGGAGTGGATTCCATTGGTGCCTTGGATAAGTTCCTTTGCTTACCTGCAAAGGTCCAAAGTTCATACCTTTAGGTTTATAGAAGATGCACTGGCCAAGCACATTCACTTTCGTTGGCAGCAAAAGAGGTGGTTATAAAAGTTGTCGGTTTAGCGACCCTGGTGTATGCGATGTTATCTTTCCGATTAACAGCCACTTCCTGTCATCGAATGAATGGGAAACTCTCACAGTTTTGGTGGGCGAGCCAAGACAAGGAGAAAGGGATTCATTGGATCGCCTGGCCAATAGTTTGTGTGAGTAAATTTCGTGGCGGACTGGGATTTCGGGACTTCGACATTTTCAACATAGCTATGTTGGCCAAACAAGCTTGGAAGATCCTTATGTTTCCAAATTCTACCTTAGCTAAGATGTACAAGGCTCGCTATCATCCTCAATATGCTTATCTCACTGCTCCGATGGGAACTCAACCGTCTTGGCGTGGCAAGGTGTACTGGAGGGTCGTACACTTCTGCGAAAAGGACTTCGATTGCAGGTCGGGTGTGGTATAGCCATCAGAATCGTAGATGATCCTTGGTTACCTACTTCCCCTCCTTCCTCCCCAACTCTGCTGCCTGGAATTCAGCTTCCGAATCAGTTTGTGGCCTCCTTGATACACCCGCTGACCCGTTCTTGGAACAAGGATCTCCTCTGTGCTTACTTTACTAGTGATAGAAATAAGTTGATCTTATCTATTCATCTCCCTTCTTATCCTAGGCCTGATAAATATATGGCATTACTCTGATACAGGTCAATATATAGTGAAGACGCTCTACCATCTCCTCTCGGATAAACGTTCAGAGATGTTCAGCAACCTCCCATCGCATCTTGATTCTCATTTCTGGAAATTACTTTGGAGTTTGTCTGTCCCTCCTAAACTAAAATTCTTTTTGGGGAGGGTTGTAAGAGGGTTTTTGCCTTGCCTGGAAGTTCTACAGGTTAAGTCCCTAAGTGCATCAAACTTATGTCATGTTTGTTCTTCGGATGTTGAATCAATTTCTAACTGTCTATTTGACTGCAGGGTAGCTCGAGGGGTTTGACTCCTGGCTGGAAAATATCACATTAGAGTGGTCTTAGCGAGTTTTTCTGCTAACTTGGCATGGTCTCATGTGTTTACTTCCCTGCAGGCCTGCAGCTAAACAAATTGGAGATGACGGAGCTGGTGTTCCTCATATGACGAATACGGAAGGATCGTTGTTGATCTTGTTATGACCGAATTTAGTACTTGCCATGCCCTCTTCTCCGCCAATATCTACAGCAAAGGGACAAATGGATTGCAGCAACCGCTTCGGCCTCGCGTAGCAGGAGTCTTCCTGGGCGTTCTCCATCCGCAACTCCTTCTCCTTCCTGCCCACCAGGGGGATTGCTAATTCATTTTGATGGTGCTACTCGACGTGAGGTTGGTGGAAGCATCGATTTTGTTGGGTTTACGACATCAGCTTCGATTGGCCATGCCTACGGTAAGTACTATGAAGGGTTGTCAAACCCATTTCTTTTAGAACTCTTAGCATTGAGAGATGCGATGAATTGGTGCTTAACCCGGGGTATGACCTCTGTTTGTTTCTATGGTGATTCACAAATGGTGATCCGGCGAGTGACGGAGAACGAAGTACATCATAATCGTGGTGGGGCAATTCTTGAGGAAGTTCGGTTGCTGAAAGCTTCGTTCATGTTTATTGATTTTGTTTTCTCTCCTCGTAGAACTAACAGGGCTGCCCATTGCGTGGCGAAAACGGCTCTTGCATTGGTGGATCAGCGTTTGGCGGGACAGGTTACGGTGATTACTACAAAAGTAGTAAATTGGGTATGAAAAATAAATTGTATTAATTAATTTTTTTAATAAATTACATTTTAGGTAGTTACAAGAATCTATTAATGACAACTCTCTCTTTCTCTCACTTCCATAATCTCTAGCCAGATCCTCTTTTCTTATTTTTCTCAATCTTTCTGCAAAAGAAAATAACACGAAATCACTACCAATCCATTAGACAACCACTACCACTTTGAAAAATATCAATGCCATTGCAGAAATAAATATATACCATTACACGAAAACTACCAATATAAACAATCTATCAATATAAATCTATACTATTTCACAAAAAATCAATACCATTACAGATTTAATCAACACCAATACATGCAAATTAAATAATTAATACCATTACATAATAATCAATACCAATGTGACAAAAACAATACCAATGCAACAAAATCAATACCAATGCGACAAAAACAATACCATTGAGACGAGAAGGTCGGAGATAAAAGGATGGCCAGCAGTGCCGATTGCTTTGACAACCTCCACGGTCTCGTACTCGCCCAGGTCGCTTGTCCATCGTCTCCTCCCTACTGTCAGAGAGAGAGAGAGAGAGAGAGAGAGAGAGAGAGAGAGGGTGGGGGTGGTGTGCGGGGAAGAAGGTGGAGAGAGAGAGTGAAGGGAAGGTAGCCGGGGGGAATTTTGGCCAACGGCGACAAGTAAGAGGGACTACGGGAGGGGAGGGGATCGCGGGGATGGAAGCGGCGGCGTCTGAGAGGGGTGTAGCTAGTAGGGTTTTGATAATAATATAATTTTTATTTATTTTAAGAGATTGTAATCAGGTGTGTATAATTTTTTGTTTACGACCCTTAATCTAATCTTTACCGTACGTTTAAAAATAGGTTAAAATAAAAGTAATGAAAGGTGTATATATTGGTAGCCACCGTAATTACTCATTTTTGGGTAGCCACCGTGATTACTTATTTTTGAGTAATCACGCTAATGCATTCCGCGTTTGGTTGATTATCACTATTTATTTTTCAGTTTTTTTTAATTCCCTATCTATTAACTATCTATCTAAGTAAAAAAAAACATGTGTGTCAATGTAAAACCAAAATTTATCCAAACCATTGGAATAGATGAAAAAAAGCTCAATATGGTGGGATCCGTTAATCAATCATATATAAGCCACGACCAAACATGCCTTCCGCTTTGCTTAATGCGAAAATAAATGACTTACTATGTCTATGATAACGACCCCATATCCTTCATTTCCAAGGAATTCGTTGGAACCCATCCACATTTTCTGCTCTATTATTCTTATTGTATTATCATCTCTTCTCCTCCCCTTGATTCTCGGCTTCAATCGTCCGTCCCAGAATGAAGCTCTAAAAAGCTTTCAACTTTACTCACAAGAGTTGACCCAGAAGCCTTATTCCCCACCCCCCAAAAAACTCCGGCCAGTTAGTTTTCCTTCCATTTGAAGAAATTTACATTCCAATCCTCTCCTCAACTTCCATCTCAGTTTTGCCTTTGCCGTGTTGGTGTTTGTGACCTCTGTTTCTGTGTTCAGCTTTACTTGCCAGTCAGTCCTTTCCTTTTAGTCATCGGCCCCAAAATAGAAAACCCACCAAAAGAAGAAGAAGCAATTCTAGATAAGAGTTTTCCACGACAGACAGGTAGCAATTGTTGGGCCGATGGTGGGTTTGTCTTGGAATCAGTCGGGGTTTTCATTTTAAACCCATGCCGCCGCCACGGTTTATGTGAATTTCCTGCTCTGTTTCCTTCCTCCCTAAGTCAACTAGGTGAAACTTCTATTCGATTTACAATCCTTACCCCGAGTAGGAGACTTCTGACCCATCGGACCTATATATACACCGAGAATTACCAAAACCCAGATTCCAATTCCTTTTTCTTTTTTCGGGAAGCAAACAGAGTATTATTTACTTGTTAAAGTTCGCGTCTTTTTTTTTTTCTCCTTTTAATGGGAGGGAGAAATTCGAAGGAGTCGGCTGGTGGCAGTCGGAGGGAGTTCTCGTCTTACGATTCCTTCAACTACCGTTACCCTCCGCCGGCAGCAGCGCCGCCGTATTCCGAGTCGCAGCCGTACTACACGCCTCAGCATCCTCACGCGCCGCCGCCGTCGTCATCATCGGCGTACGGTTATGAACCGGAAAGGCCTCCTCAGCCGCAGAAGAGGTTGGATAGAAGGTACTCCAGGATTGCCGACGATTACAAGACTTTAGATCAGGTTAGTTCATCCATGATCAAATCAGTTACTGTTTCCTTTTGATTGTGAAATCTTGTATTTTTCAATTTTTTGGGGACGATTTGAGTTGCCATGGGTCCGGCCAATTATTGGGACAGTGGAAATGTTTTTTTCGAGAGGAATATGCTGATTGTATCTGGTGAATCTGGAATTTTATCCAAGTTGGGTTCTTTGCCATGTACTGTTGTGGATTATGAAAGACTGATAAAGATGTGAACTTTTCTATGGCTATTGACTAAAGAATCAAGAACTACTGTATCTTTTTGTTTGTGGTTCACAAGTTCTCTCTTCTTTGGAGGGTTTTGACTAAAATGATACTAAGAATAACTGTGAGAGAATGGAACTGGTGCTCGAATGGTGTGACTGATTCTTGTTGGGACTTGCAGGTTACTGCTGCACTTGCTCAAGCTGGGTTGGAATCATCTAATCTCATTGTTGGCATTGACTTCACCAAGAGCAATGAATGGACAGGTTTAGCCTCTTTGTTCTGGTCCTTATGATATTTTTATAAAATGTGGTCTTTACTCTTGGAAGATGCTTGAGGTTTGGTTTTACTTGTGGAAAAATTCAGGTGCCAGGTCATTCAACCACAAAAGCTTGCATCACATTGGCAATGATCCAAACCCGTACGAACAAGCCATATCCATCATTGGAAGGACTTTGTCCGCCTTCGATGAAGATAACCTGATTCCTTGTTATGGCTTTGGAGACGGTAAGATGGTGACAACGGTTAACTCAGTAGATTTCGCTAGATATTTTAATGCTGATTGTAAGTCAATCTTTATGTACTCTCTTGTAGCTTCGACACATGACCAAGATGTGTTTCAGTTCTATCCGGAAGAGAGATTCTGTCAGGGATTCGAGGAGGTGCTGTCCCGGTACAGAGAAGTTGTTCCTCAGCTTCGGCTAGCTGGTATTGGCTTCTCTTCGCTCTTTCTTTGTATCTCCTTTATTACATTTTTACAGTTCTTGGTTTCAGTTCTACCTTCTAAAGTTGCAATCTTGTACTTCTCGTCGACAGGGCCAACGTCCTTTGGACCAATGGTCGAAATGGGCATTAGCATTGTTGAGCAAAGTGGTGGCCAGTACCACGTTCTTGTCATAATTGCTGATGGTCAGGTAATCCAGCATATCACTCTGACTTCCGAGACTGGTTAATGCTCCATGTCCAAATTGCTTATGAACTTTCTCTACAGGTGACACGGAGTGTTGACACAGAGAACGGCCATCTCAGTCCTCAAGAGCAGAAGACTATTGAAGCAATTGTCAAAGCGAGGTGAGTACCAAAAGCCCCACTGGTGGCGAAAAGAATGATAGAAATGAAAGTCTGACCGATATCTTTTGCGCTTTTATTAATGACAGTGAATACCCTTTGTCGATTATCCTAGTCGGTGTTGGCGATGGGCCTTGGGATATGATGAGAGAGTTTGATGATAATATCCCTGCTAGAGCCTTTGATAACTTCCAGGTAACCATTTAACCGTGCTCTTGAAAGTGATGGTTCTGGATTCCTCTTCCTTCAGCTGAAGCAGTTCAACTTTCCTTCTGTTTTCTGTAGTTCGTAAACTTCACAGAGATCATGGCCAAAAATGTTAACCAAACAAGAAAAGAAACAGAATTTGCTCTTGCTGCGTTGATGGAGATCCCCGCTCAATACAAAGCCACTCTTGAGCTTGGCTTATTGGGGTAATTACTCTAACAGAACACCTATTTTTAACCCTTTCGTGTTTAATGTTCTTCTGTGACTAATGTTTGTTTTTATTTTTTCTCTGATCATCAAAATGTAGGCGTCGAAAGGGGAGTGGTCCAGAGAGGATAGCTCTACCTCCACCACAATATGGTCGATCTTCCCATGGTGGCAATGTGAAGCCCTTCCGATCAACTAGCTTCCAGCAGCGAGTGCCTTCATACCCGGACTATAATTCAGCAGCAGCAGCCAGCTATAGTGCGCCACCAGTGAGCTCAGCTCAACATTCGAGTTCTGAGTCTGACAACAAGGTACAAAAGACAGGCTCTTGATCACTTGGTCTACACACATTGACCTGTTCCGGATGTTCATTGAAGCTCGTTCTAAAGATGAAAGGTGCTAACTTTCCTGTTTTTTCCATCCCTTTGGGCAAACACAGGCTTGTCCCATTTGTCTTTCCATCCTAAGAACATGGCATTTGGCTGTGGCCATCAGGTATAAGAAAGATTCCCACTTTCCCTCTGCATCGATTCATTAATCCCACTGATTTGAGGACACCATGAATCCATGGTGTTTAAACTTATACTCAATTGGTCTGTGCTGTAGACTTGTATTGAATGTGGAGAAGACCTGCAATCGTGCCCCATCTGCCGGAGCGCGATACAGACTAGAATCAGGCTGTATGGATAAAAAGATCGAGCAGTGATCCCCAGCCACAACTCGCCACAGACCCGTACGAACTTAAATCAAGGCGCGAGAAGAAGCTCGTTTCGTAGTGTACAGAGGGGTGTCATGATTTTTTTGGAAGCGTCCTGTATGTTGCATTCCTTGGACCACAGATACCACAGACAGGAATGGAGGAGATGGAACAAAGTGATAGCTGATAAGGTGGCATTGGTAGAGAATGGTGTGTGTGTTTCTTAGGTGTTAGGAATGATGATTTGGATGGATTCTGTCTTCTGGCTGCTGTGTAGAACAGAACAGATATGGTTGAGGGGGAGCTCTCTCCACTCCCAACACCCATTCCTCCATTATTGTTTTTCTTGCCTCCCTTTTGTTTTTCTACTTTGCCTAGGCTGCGTGAGAAGATTATTGAGTGTGATTTGGGTAAAGGTTACCACTTACCACTGCCATGTGAATAAATATTCCATTCCAATAATGAAAAAAATTTATCAGCTATGGCCTATGGGTAGGATAAGGGGCTGTATGTCAGGTGTGTTTGCTTCAAATACATGAATTTGAAATAGGTGTATTTCAAATTCATTATTTGAATGCTTTTTTAGTTTCTTTTTTCAATTTTGAGTTTTCTATTAAGTAAATTTTATTTTTTTAACAAATAGGTCTATCAATTTTGGTGATAAAATTATGCTTTAGTATTTTTAAGGCTTTTGCTTTGCATTGTAGTACCTCAATTTTTAAGATTTTATAAACAGGTTCAGTTAGTTGCTATAAGGAATTTCAAATCATTAGGTGTTGATATGTATTTAAAATTCACAAGTGATATACTAAATATAGTTGCTATAAGGAATTTCAAATCATTAGGTGTTGATATGTATTTAAAATTCACAAGTGATATACTAAATATAGTTGCTATAAGGAATTTCAAATCATTAGGTGTTGATATGTATTTAAAATTCAAAAGTGATATACTAAATATGCATTTGAAATTCACATTATGAATTTGGAACCATATATAAGTACTAATTAGTATTCAAACAAAAGATTTTATTCAGAATTCCACAGTGAGTAAGAAATCAGCAAGTTATGCAAATACCAAACCATTCCCTTAACTTCCAGAAAGCACAAGTAAAAAAGCGCGTACCTTGGCGCCCACTTGGGCTAGCTCAGCAAAGAGGTGATCCCCGTTCACCTCGGACGGCACCTGCCATGACTTGGCAGCCGCAATCGCCAAGCCCATGGCACACCCTCGGTCAACGGCGACCAAAGGGGAGCAGTTCATGTTAACACGCCCCACATCGGCCCGCCGTGGCCGGAAGATGGGCGGGCGCCCGTCGGGGCCAACGTAGCGCCCCTCTTCGTTGAGGTGTAGATGGGCGTCCTCCCCCGCCTCCACCTCCACCTCGTCGCAGGCGTCGTCGTCGACGCCCACCTTCCTCTTTCCCTTACCGGCCCTTTTGCTGGCCGAGGCTAAGGGGGAACCAGCCCTCTTCCCCTTTCGGAGCAAAGGCTCCTCCTCTTCTTCTTTCGCGGAGTTGACCTCCTGCTCCGCGGGTTCGGAGTTAGGCTCCCCCTCGCCTTCCTCCGGAGCGGAAGATGCCACGCTCGCTGTATGCGCACGAGCGGTGCCACCCTTCACCGCCCTCTTCTTCTTCTTCTTGGGGCCAGCCGCCGGCGCCCGCGATTGAGTGGCAGGCGCTTCTTGTTGAACGGGCGCCTCTTGTTGAGTAGGCGCCTCTTGTTGAGGGGGCGCCCCTTGTTGAGCAGCCGCCACCGCGGCCGCCTCCGCCGTCATGGTAGCCAGCCGACTCTTCATCAGCTTGGCGATGCTCGAGTAATCCGCCCCTGCATATGGTGAAAATAAGTTAGTCCACAACACAAACAAGGGAACAAGGGAATAGAGCACCTAGACGCCTACAAACCATCGTTATAATAAGCCTCAATAATGGGCGGGCGGTTTTCTGCGGGGCGTAAGTCCACGGGTTCCTCGCAAATCAATGGGGCGCCGGCCTTTTCCGACGCCGTCAAAACCACCGGCGCGCTAAAGGCCTCGACCTGACCCAACCCCCATTGCCTAACAAAGGCGCCCCCACTTGCAAAGAAGGAGTCCCGATAGGCCTTCACAAAGAAAAAACCGTTGAACCAGCTTCAGTTCAACTTGGGACACTTTTTCACAAAATGATAGGGGCGCTTCTTTCGTTTCTGGAGAGACAAGCAATTGTCAAGAGGCACCATCTTGAAGAAATATCTGAACAGGTTGAAGGTGGGCTCCACGTTATGCTGCCAGCACCTCAACTTGAACAGAATGACGACCGTGATAACCGAGGGAGATAGGCGCCCGAGGGGGCAGGCGCAGGTCGTCAGGATTCCCTCCATGATCGAGTCAAGGGGAAACTGTAGCCCGAAGCGGAAGTATTCTTGATAAATCCCGATCCACTTCGGGCCACAGACGCCTACCCGGGACAAAGGCGATGGAGGCGCATACCACCAATCTCGTGGAAGTTGGAGGCTGGTCACCAACTCATGAACCCGGCCTAAAGTGACGGTTGACGTGTGTTGTGGCCCGGCCACCTCGAAGGGTAAGTGAGACGTCTCGGTGGGAAGATGATCGGGAGGAAAACACTTCTCCCATGAAGTGATCTTGTAGGACCCATCGGCAGGCAAGAACCCAGGCGCCGAAGAACTTGACGGCCCAGCAGACGATGACGGTCCACCAGATGCTGAAGCAGGCGCCCGCTCTAAACCAACAAATGACCCAGACGCAACGCGGACACGGGGTAAGCGACGCCCTACCCTAGGTGACTAGAATAAACTCAACGAATCTAACAAAGGAAAAAGGAACACTTACCGCGTTGAACTGGGCGCCTTGTTTCACTACCCGCGCCAGAGGCGCCCGCGCCCGAAGCACCCGCACCAGGTGCGCCTGCGCCCGAGGCGCCGTGTCCTGAAGACTTGTCTTGTTGCGGGGAAGACATTTTGGACGGGAGCGCTGTGTCGCACGTGAAGACTGACAGGAAAGAAGACAGAGGACAGAGTAGAATCTAGAGAGAGGTCAGAGCAAAATCCTAGAGAGAAGTCAAATGGAAGAAAGTGACAGAATCTCAGGGGGTGAGGGGTATTTAAAGAAAAACGGATGCCCCCACCAAACCTCCTCGCCGCGTGCCACGTGTCAATCATCCCGAACGGACCCTTCCGCTTCCCCCACCTTTTGGCCTTTTCGCGAACCTCAAAACTTGAGCGGACCCTTGAGCTTCCCCCACCCTTTCCTTTTTGGGGAAATTTCTCAACTCCCAATTTCGAATTTTCTTTTTTAAATTCGATATTCCAAATTTCCCCGGCAAGCAAAGCGTGGGTGAGGGGGGCATAAGGGATAGGGACACATATCGAGACGGACACCGTGAGAAGGCGCCCACAAAAAGGGTCGCGGAGAAGGAGCACATGAAGCATTAAGCCAAGGCAAGGATCGGACGCCTGAAAGCGAGGAGTTGGAAAAGGCGCCCCTATGTGGCAAGAGGCGTAGGAGCACATAGAAGAGCATATGGCAAGGAGCACCGTCAAAGGTAAGACGCCCGCCAGCGAAAGGGGAGGAGCGAACGCACCCCTCCGAACCAGGAAGGAAGTAAAAACACGGCATAGGGCGCCGAGAAGCAGGCATCCTATAGCAAAGAGGACGCCGGACTGCAATTAGAGATTCAGTCAGGCGCTCGAAGGCGGAGCCACGAGCACCTAACTGGGGGGCAATTGTTGGGGGTATTACCTAGCAGCTAGGAGTTTGGGCTCCCAAAGAAAGAGAGTTGGGGGGCAAGGCCCAAAAAGAATTGATCCGCTAGAGGCCCTTGGGCCCAGACAAGGGAAAGGGCCCAAAGAATAAAACACTAAAGGCCAAATTGAGGCCAGCTGTCAGGTGGACCACTGCCTGCGGGCGCCTGTCATGTGTCAGGAGCCTGGCAAGGCAGTTGGATGCCTGTCGTGTGTCAGGAGCCTGGCAAGACAGTTGGATGTCTCACATAGGGGACGCAGAGCATTAAATGAGGATAGCGACGTGGAGAGGATCAACTCGAGTTCGGTGAGTATAAATAGGGGCAGCTGGTAGCATTTACGCAGGTTGGACTCTCTCTCACTAAATACTACTTGAGAACACTACTCTCTTTAAGATACTAACTTGGGCGTCGGAGGATTAACGGGCCGAGGCGCCCTCCTCTTTGTGTGCGTAGGTCGACACCAGAGAAGGGAGACGTCCGAATATTGAGGGGGTGCTGTGGCTCAAACAATATTTATTAAAAATAAAAATAATTTTCCATATATCACAACCTTCAATTTCTATCCCACAAGATCTTCGTCCTCCTCCATTAAACTCCCAGTCCTCTTTTCGTTTTCCTCCTTTGAACGGCAACCACCACCCGCCTTCTCGATTCCATTGCCAACTGAAGGATCTCATCTGAAGTCCGAACAGCCACGACCGTAACCGATAAATCAAACCTTCTATCCGTCACCGCCTTCCCCGGAGGCAAGCACGAGTTCCAGATCCGGCGACCTTTAACTCTGTATTTTCGCATTTTGGACACTTGCTGACTTCTTCTCACTTCCTGGTTAGGAAACCCTTCATGGAATCGGTGCCCTTCCTGGTTCGGCGAACTCGTGCTTCTATCATTCTCTGCAGGAATCGAATGCTTCTTCGAATCGAGACTGGAAAGCTCCAGCTTATGTCCGTCTATGCAGGATCAGTCCTTCTTGATTCAGAAATCCACTAAACCACCCACATCGCTCGAGCCAGCAGCAGCCAGCCCCGCCGCGGAAGAGGATACGCCCACCCGGCCGATTCACCAGTTCCTCAGCTAGCAGAAATCTGGCCAGATCTTGCTCGACGTGGACCTGGAAGAGCTCAAGGTCGTTGGCGACAGGCGCCAGCCGAACAACCACAACATCACGTCGGCTCTCCGATGAGCATTGAGCAGGAAGTCGTCGATCCGCGTCTCGTTCGACCCGTCCCTCTCTGGGGCATATGCGACGCCGACACCGCGGTAGCCACCGCCACGTTAGGAGACGAATCTGTCGCAGTGCCGACACCGCGGCCAGAACCCCTCGCCCCCTCCCTTGGCGCCGCTTCTTCTTCCTTTGAATCGAGCTATGGCAGCACCCATTTCCGGAGGTGATCTACGAATTCGAGCCATCGTTTTCTTCTTCCTCCCTCGCCGCTTCTTCTTCCCCAATAGGTGGTCGTCGTCGTTCAAAGGAGGAAAATAGAGGGGACTGGGAATTCAATGGAATTGGATGAAATCTTGTGGACAGAATTGGAAGGTTGTGATAATGAATATTTTTATTTTTTAATAAATATAATAATAATGAGGTGGAAAATTATAAATATTTATTTTTATTATTTTTAATTGCCACATCATATATTTAACAGTCAACTATTTAAGTTGACTGCCACATCAAACAAAACTAACGGAGTTGGACGGAGAGTGACCAAACTTGAAACACTTAATTAATTTTAGTGACCACGAATGGAATTAAATATTTTTAATCACCAAAAATAAACGTTTTTAGTAATTTCAGTGACCAACCTTGCAATTTACCCAAAAAAAATATTTAAGGAATTAATCCACCACCGAAGAGGAAAAGAGAAAATAAGAAAATCCGGTAGACTAGAGAGGAGGAATTAAAAATTATTAGATTGCGTGAGAAAATAGCTTAACTTAACCAGGGTTAAATATCGAGTAGGTTCGAACCGAACTTCGGGTAGAAGCTAATCTAACGGTGGAAATCAACTAATCAGAAAGGAGCGGAAAAGAAAAATAAAGAAACAGAAAATTGCCGAAGAACAAAATCTCTCTCTAATAGTTAGGGCAAAATCCGTTGTTCTAAATCTGATCCCCAAAGTGAATTGGTTCAATTCCTGGCTTTACTGATGAATTAGGGTTATGGGTTTTGTTCACCCTCTGATGGAGACGGACTACGTCGCTGAGTTCCCTCATAATCACATGGATCGTCGTCCCAGAAAGAGACCTAGATTCGCTTGGGATTTCCCTCAAGCTCACCCCAAGGTAACAGCTTCCCTTTTTGTCTCTCTTCATTTGGTCATCGATTCTCGGTATCGACAATTGCTGATATGATCTTATGATTGAAGCTTCAGGGGTTTTCCTTCCCTTATATTGTGATGTTCTTGTTTAAATGAGATTCTAGCTGAATTTTGTTGAATGAAAAGCTGATTTATTGCTTCCAAGTGAGATGGAAGTATTTGGAGAGAAAAGGGATTGGAGGGCTTCTGGAAGTTTTGGAAAAATGTGTAAAAATTAGTAATGATTCTTGGCGGGTTTGTGAAGAATGGTTCCATTGCCTGAAATCTGTAGCATTGATTTCTAAATGCTGAAAGTGTAAAAGTGCGAATGGATCAGTCTTTCATGAGATGAACTATCCAGCTTCTATATAAGTTGGATCATTGAGGGATGTCAAATAACTCTGGTCTATGTATGAAAGATGCTTCTGGCTATTATGATTTATGGTTCTTATGGCTAGACATGAATAGTTTGCTGATAACAAGTTAGTGTTGCCTAAAAGCTTTGACATTGTTGTTTGGGTTGAGCAAACTGGAAGCATTCTTGACAATAGTGAATTTTTGTGGAGGAGTGGCCTTTTATTAGTTACTGTTTGTTTAGCGGAAAATGAATGAATGGCTGTGTGTAGGCGCAGTCAGGATTGTATTTTGGACAAGATGTTGGAAATGGGACGAGCATGGGACCTTCAAGAGTACTACTCACAGACCATTCCGGTTTATATTTAAAAGGATTGGCTCAAAAAGGCTCTCCCCCATGGCGAGATGATGACAAAGATGGACATTACATGTTTGCTCTTGGAGAGAATTTAACACCTCGCTGTAATTTCACTAAATCACCACTTAGCAGGCTATTATGTTATGTTTGAAATTGTTTTCATGCAACCTAAGATATATACCCCGATTTACACAACCCTTCTTTTTTCAAAGCCTTCATTTAAAAGTGTATGCTTAGATCGTTAAGAGAGTCATGGTCTAACTTTATTGAGTGTTATGATATGTCTTTTGTTTGAAATTTTTTGTTTTGTTTTTCCGAAATTAAGCATTTGAAAGCTGCTTTGTGATCTGTTCTTTTTAAGACGAAGCAAACCAATTTTTTTTGGGATTCACTAGCAGCGTCCACCCTTTTCCGGATATTTCAATTTTGTTTCTTGTGGGTTATTAGTTTAGTCTTCTATAATTATACATTTGTGGTTCTCCTGGTGATTGATCTTCTGTTTATCTACTTGCAGATAAGATCCATAGGAAAATTGGCGAAGGTTTGATCTCCTTGGATATCTTGCCATCTTATAGTGGGACCTTTCTTCCTTGGCTGGCATATTTAAATAGTTTTCTCTTTTTCTTCCAGGAACCTTTGGTCAGGTTTTGGAATGCTGGGATAGGGAAACAAGAGAGATGGTCGCTGTAAAAGTTGTGAGAAGTATAAAAAAATACCGGGAGGCAGCAATGTCCGAAATTGATGCGCTCCAGTTGCTTGGAAAGTATGATAGAAATGGAAGCCGGTGAGTTTTGCCTCTGTTAAAGCAGCTTGAGCATAGTGTTATTATTTTATTTTATATTTTCATGAGTATTGAGTCAAATAATTTTCTTTTCTGCAGTTGTGTACAAATAAGAAACTGGTTTGACTACCGGAACCATATCTGCATTGTAAGTATCCAATGTTTAATGTAGCCAAGTTTGATTAATAGCCTCTTTCTGTGCAATTTCAGGGGGTTGAGACGATGGGTTTTAAAATGATGTGTGTTTAACAGGTCTTTGAGATGCTTGGACCAAGCATATACGATTTTCTTCGTAAAAATAGTTATCGACCATTTCCAGTTGACCTTGTCCGTGAGCTTGGCAGACAACTCTTGGAATGTGTAGCATGTGTGTAAATGTTTTCCCTTTCACCATCTATTATGCTTTTCAAGTTTCTTGGGCTGCATGTTTTATGCTGTTCAGGGAAACTTAAATTTAAAGCTGTTCCTATGATGGGGACTTCCTAGTTCCCCTCACTATCTTCTTCACTCTCCTTTTTTCCGCACTTCAAGGATTAATAATGAAGTAATATGAGCATGGAAGCTGGATACTTTCTGAATACTAGTATTGACTCTATACCATAAACTATGCAGTTATGCATGACTTGCGGCTTGTCCATACCGATCTGAAGCCAGAGAATATACTCTTTGTTTCTCCAGATTATGTGAAAATTCCTGACTACAAGGTACATTCCTTGGTATACTACTAATAATGACATAAGTTCTCTCCTGCTTCTCCATTTTACATCAATCTAGTTTTGGTGCTTGTTTAGGTTCCAGTACATTCATTTAGTGAGGCAGCCTGTTACAAGAGGTTGCCGAAGTCTAGTGCCATTAAGGTCATTGATTTTGGCAGCACGGCTGATGGCCATAAGCATCACAACTATATTGTTTCCACCAGACATTACCGTGCGCCCGAGGTTATCCTCGGTAATGCTAATCTCTTACCTCCTTAAACCAAGTTTCTGTCCTTGTTTTCGATAGTGAGACTCATATCAATAGCTTGTTCCAATTTGCAGGCCTTGGTTGGAGTTACTCTTGTGACATATGGAGTGTCGGATGTATATTGGTAGAACTATGCACAGTAAGTTCACGGCTTCCCAGGATGATCACTTTCTAGCCTTGGATTGGCACATTTTCTACTTTTTCTAGATGCTAAAGCACTAAAAAAAATTCCAGGGGGAAGCATTGTTCCAGACCCACGATAACTTGGAGCATTTAGCCATGATGGAAAGAGTGTTAGGTCCATTGCCTCAGCAGATGTTGAAACGAGTGGAGTTTGTCTTCTCTCTCTCTCTCTCTCCTGTTTCTATTTTTCCATCATGGAATAAAGCAATTCCCTTGCTTATTGCTCTCTCTGTCTTGCTCCGTTTCTGTGCTCATCTACAGTCGACACGCTGAGAAGTACGTGAGAAGAGGTAGATTGGATTGGCCTGACAATGCAACCTCTCGTGACAGCATTAAAGCGGTCATGAAGCTGCCTCGTCTTCAGGTATATAGCTCTTCCTTCAGTGAAGCTGACTTTGTTTCATTTGGTGGTTGCCCATTTATGCAATTGCTTTTGGGCAGAATCTAGTAATGCAACACGTGGATCACTCGGCGGGCGACATCATCGATCTCTTGCAAGGTCTCCTTCGGTACGACCCTTCAACCAGGCTTACGGCTCACAGCGCCCTCGGGCATCCTTTCTTCTCGAGGGACCTTTACAGGAGACTTTGAATCAGAACAAGAAGATGGATGGATGGTAATAATCTTTGATGTGTGGCCTCCCATAATCAAGAGCTTTTTATGTCATCTTGTGGTTAAAGAGTGTACCATATGGGGGATTGCTTTCCTATGTATTCTTTATAACGAGGAGAATCAAGAGGTCCAATCACTGACGAATACAAAGTGTTTTGAAAACCTGCAACTGTAAGTGTAATGTTACCAAAGTCCAAAGGCATCTATCTGTATACTATTGTGTATTTTAGGGGAAAGATAAAAACCAAAGGGGTTTCTCGACAGCCCTCCCCAATTGTGGTAGATTGCAATGTAGTCTGGAATTTCAGTTTCTTCCATACTGGTTTATTGTTTGACACTAAGTTATTCGTAGTAACGAATGCGAGCAATAACGCATAGTATTTCGTACTACACAGACGACGAGCATCACCACTGGATAAAGTTAACAGAAAAATAGTTAACCGAAACGATATGTCAATTACATTTTACTGTCGTCAATGAATCAATCAGACATGAAACTACCCCAAAATTGGTTGTATTAAACTTGTAATAATTTCATCGCTTCGTAATGCATCGTCTTCCACGTAAGATCCCACTCGGAGGCCCAGTCGTGACGATCGTACAATGACCGTAGAGCTTATACGAATACCCAAGGAACGTGCCGAGCTTGGATCGAACCCGAAACACACCCTTCACATTAAACGTCACCGTATTCTTCTCGATCTCTTCCTCCAGCTTCTTGCTGTCCTCCAGCGGGATCCGGACCTGGCTCGTCACCAGCTCCAGGTTCACGAACCGCGACCCGGCCCGGCTCGCGGAGAACGGCTGGATGAACTGCGTCGCGATCAGCGTGCTCCCGTAGTAGAGATCCACGATCAGGCTCCCGAAATCGACTCCGACCTTCCGGTTAGGGTTCGTGAAATTCGCCAGCACCGAGACGTCGGCGTTGAGCAGGGACCCGGCGTCGAGGTACGCCGCGTTCAGCGTCGCGTCGGAGACCTCGAACCGCGGGTTGTGCGGCCGGTAGACGAGGTAGACCACGAGGACGATCAAGTCCGCCGAGGAAGATCGCGATCCAGAAGATCGCGCAGCACACGGCGGCGCACCACGTCGTGATTTTGGTCCTCCGCGGCGACGGCACCACGGGGCCCCGCCGTTCCCGCCGGTGGCCGACGCCGTCGTGCGGAGGCGGATGCTTGCGGTGGTGACGTGGATGTTTCGGCGGCGGTTGTGGTTGTGGTTGTGGATGCTGCGGCGGTTGCTCTTGGGAGTCGTGGCGGTGGGGATCGGTGACGAGCGGGCCGTGGTCGTGGGTCGGGTGGGATGAGGGCGGGGGGTACCCATGGGCTTTGGTAGTGGCCGTCGTGGGCTGGGCCGTGGGCCGGCTGGGAAGGAAGATGCTGCGGGTGATGTGGTGGTATGGCCCATGGGCTGCGAAACTGTCTGCGTTCCTGGTGGCGGATTGGGGCCCGAGGGCCTGTTGTGGGTTGGGAGTAACTCGTCGTCGACGTGGAGAGGGAAGTGCTGGTTGCCTGGGTCGGGGGCTTCCTGCTGGCGGTGGTGGTGCGGCGGGGGAGGAGGAGTGGCTGGGCCGCTGACCGGAGGAGTTATCAGTACCGGTGGTGGGGTGGAACGGCGGTGGCCGTCGCGGCGTGGCGGTTGGAGTGGCCGGACGAAATGAGGGTTGGTTTCGGGGTGGCGGGACATTTCTGTGTGTTTCTCTGGAGAGAGAGAGAGAGAGAGAGAGAGAGAGAGATACACGTAGTTGGGAGATTTGGGAAGTGAGTAGAACTAGTAGATAGTCGTGTTTGGTTTTTGGAGAGGGGAAAAGGTTGAGGGAGTTTGGATGACCTGATGAGGAATTCAAGAAGGATTCAATTGCAGGGAAAGAATCAAAAGTTGTCTAATTGTGGGAGGCAACGTATCATTCTCTTTTCTTGTTCACATCTTGAAGTTGGGTTTAAGTTCATGATTACTACTAGTCTTGTGAGTTGTGAAATTGGGGATGGATGAAGATCTAGTGGTTGCAGATGAAATATTTAATGGGTAATAAGCAGGGGTTGTTCAAACGGATCGGTTACCATGGTAACTATATTAACCGGTAGCATTCGATTAATTTGATTTGGTTAATTTGGATAATTGGTTTGGTTAATTTTTTTTGTTTATTGGTTTAGGTGGTTTGGTTTGGTTTGGTTTCAACACTACGAACCAATGAAACCAATTAACCAATGAAAGGAACAATCAAATGTTCAATAAACCGAAGGCTGAGGAATGGGCGATCATAGGGAAGGCTTTAGATTTTTGGGAGGAGTACAAATCCCACCACTCAAAGGAGCAAGAAACTAATTCGAGCGAGAAATGTACCTGGGAGAAGCCGCCAGAAGGATGGGTGAAGGTGAATCTGGACGCCGCGGGTGATGGCCGGGGAGGGTACAGGGCTAGGGCTGGTGGTTCGTGACGAAACGGGAAAATTTCTGCTCGCGGCGGTTCGGCGGGAGAGAAGGCAGTGGCCGCCGGAAATAGCCGAACTCCGGGCTATGGATTTTGGGTTGCAGATGGTGGAACACCATGGTTTCTTACCGGCGGTGGTGGAGAGCGATTGCCAGAATGCTATCCAGAAAATGAAGGGTGAGGAAGATTCGAGGATGGAAGCAGGTGTTGTCGCGAGGGAGCTAAAGGAGCGGGCCGAGTCCTTGGGCCAGATCCGGTGGAGCTTTACGAAGAGAACAGGGAACGAACCGGCCCATCTACTGGCCCACTCAAACTGTAACTGGGATTCTTCTGAGTCTTGGGCTCTTAGGCCCCCATGTTTCTCCTTTCTCATATGGAGAAGGACAATTTGATCTCTTAATAAGATAAGCAGGTTTCTGTCAAAAAAATATACAAAATTATTTATACTTCCATGCAACCAACCAAACCAAACTTTCGTGATTCCCTATTTTATTTCCATGTGCACAACAAACCAAAACATTATGCGTAAAAAATTAAATGGGTCTACCTATTTACTAAACCAAAACATTTTGGACAACTACTAGATTTTAGGATTACGTACAATACCATGACAGCCACCTCAAACTATGCATAGTTTAAGTATTTTGTAGGAGAGCTTTAACTGCCTGATGAGTGGTATGGGTATGTATTTAATATTTATGTTAAGGGTTTGTTGTAAGCTAACTATATTAGGTGCAGAGATGATGAATGATGCATTAACTCGAACGATGATGATAATCATGGTTATGTTATTTGGTTAATCCGATTATCCGATTAACCAAACCAATTAAACTTTGGTTTGGTTAATTTGGTTTTCGTGTTAATTTGGACGGTTTGGTTAAGACATTTTATTCCACGGTTAATGAAATATAGGCTTAATTGGTTTGGTTATTACCACAGTAACCATTTGAACACCCCTAGTTATAAGAAGCTATTCATATCAAAGTTTTTGGGATTTTGTGGGTGTAGGTTATTGTGCATCAACCGTCAGTATGGTACAAAATAAGCGATTCATAGTCCCGCTTCTAGAGTGAAAAGAAAATTTTTATTTTCAGTGACAGAGGAAGGAAGAGTCTCCATGCAACGTTTTGAATGATTTCTTTTATGCAACATAAAACATGATTCATAATAGGCAGTCACTCACAATTGATTACCATTGAGTTCTAAAAGTTTTTGTACGTGTGAATGTGAAATTTAACTGATAAAGCAATACTAGCTATATATTAGATTAGGTATTGTGGTATTATTAGATTGAAGGTTTGATTTATAGATAAGAATCACATAGTTTATTTTATGAATATGATAAGAAATAAAAACAAGCTACACAGACCATGGAATCGTGTAGGTACAAATTGTGCATGAAGGATTTTACGAATTCTAAAGAAGAGTTACAAGTTACAACATCACAAGTCAAGACTTATAATCAAACAATGTTGAAGCAGTACACCGTCTGTGGTGTCGAGATCGAAACTTTATTAATATGAGTCGAAGGTTGAACGGTTATGTTTTTTTCCCCGCATAACGATAGATAAGAAATGTGCTAGTTTATTTGGAAGTTAGAAATTTATAAATTTTATTATTTGAATTGATGTCCCCTTTTTTTTACCAAACGATCATTTGAATTACGGGAAAAATATAGGTACAACGTCAAACACTCTGAAATTAACCAATTGCGAAAATCAAACCCACAAATTGTTACAGGATATTATTAGTCACCAAAAGAACTATCGTGTTATTTTTCCTACCAACAAATTGAGTACTGAACTCGGGATACTCCAAAAAAAAAAAACGACGAAACTCCTGAAGAACGACACCAACAAATTACATCGTGAAGAGCTACTAAATATGGTTGGGCATGCGGGCGAGTCATCCGCGGGTATGGGCTGATCCGCTCGCATTTGACTCGAATTTCGTTATGTGGGTGGGTTAATGGTTGGGTGACAGGTTGTGCTGGGAGACATCCGTCGGGTGGCGGGTGCACGGGTGACCCGATCAACCCAATGAAAAAAGAACAAAATCGTTGGCGCTGGAGGGTGGAGATGCTAACGGAAACTGGGCTACTCTGGAGATTGAATCTTAGAGCCAATCTTCCAAATCTCCACTTACCTCTTCTCCGGTAGCAGATCCAGTGAGTAACCTTGTGGTATGAAAAATACCACCATATACCAGTGTGGTATAGTATGGTATGAAGTTGGTAACGAGAGGTATGGAATTGTTTCACCCAGAAAAATTTGAAATCCAATAGATCATGATTAAATCGTTCCTTCTGTGCAAAAATTTATGAAAACAACTAAAAACGAAGGAGATACCATATGGTATGGAGTTGGTAACGAGATGTATGAAAAAAAATTCCAAAAAATATTGAAAATGGATATCATCTTGTAGAGCAGAACATACTCGTTTCATCTGTGCAAAAAAAATTGAAATCCGAGTTAGAATGAAGAAGATATGATCCAATCAAGAAAACTAGGGAAAATAAATTTTTTTAATTCTCCACCCTTAGATTTGCAGCCACTTAAAAGAAGGGTCCAGATTTGGTTATTCATAGTTATGCACCCTATCTTGAGCCCTCTTCTCCCCTTTATTTTTTCCTCGAATTCTTGTGCCCAAATCACCTCTCTTTTCTCCGTTGAATGATTTTTCTTAGTTTACTGCACCCGATAATCTTCTCCATAATAGAATTTCTATCCAATTTCAGAACTAATTCGACATTTTTTCTTCCTAATCCATCTTCTTTTTTCTGTCCGATAACTAGGGATGAACATGGGTTGGTGATTCAAGACTAATTGTACACTTTTTATCCCTGTTTCTCTTTGGCGTTTGTTGTAATTGAACTCCAATAGGAGTGGTTTTACGCGAGCTTTCTTATGTTTCAGTGTGTTTTCAAATCCTAACAGGTGAAACCAACCCCGAAGTCGAAAGTTGGAAGAAAAGGAGCAAAGACCGGGCAAAGAGGAGGAGACAACATGTGTTCACGGTCTGCCATTGGAGTTCACGGTTTCCAGGACCGTGAACTAGAACCACAATCTGTGAAACAAGGAGCGTCTAGAGAGGGTTTTGAGGTTACTAGCGCCAAGGTTGTTCACGGTCGCTAAGACCGTGAACCCAAGAAGTGAAGCGGTGCATTTTGGTTCAGCACACTGTGCTCTCTGGCGCGTTTTGATGTTCACGACCGTGAACTGGGCTCGATCTCAGTATAAAGAGCCAGCTGAAAGAAAGAAGGGAGGGACCTAATGTGATAAACTTCTTCTTCTTCAGATTTTAGAGTGAGAAAGTGACAAACCAAAGAAGAGGAGAAACTAGGGTTTCATCTCCAAGCAAGGATTTGGGAATTCCTTCCCCAAAGCAGGATCTCTTCAACACAAGGAGCAAGTCTAGCATCTTTTTGATGATTTTTCTTTCTTCTCCCTTGTGTTTTCCTTTCTCATAGCATGGAGTAGTCCCTTCTTTCACTTGGGTGTTTGTAAACCCTAGCTACAATTATGTGAATGCTTGTATGAATTGAATGATTTGTGTGTGGTTGTGTTAATGTGAATGTGGAGGTATTATTCATGAATGATTGTGTTGTGTGAAAGCCTATCAATCTAATTGCCCTTATAACCTAGGTAGAGAGAAAACCCCACTTTCTTTCTTTGAAAGAGGCTTGAATGTTGGGTTTTCTTGGCTAATTCGTTGCCTCCTATTTGCGTTGATGCAGGGCAAACCTCCTATTTCGTATTAGCACTTCGGGTTTGGTTGTGGGTGGCCGTCCGAACTCCAATTCGAGGGTGAAGTCTAACCATTCCTTAGTCAATAGGTTGAGAGGGTCGCATTAGTGGCTTGGATCGTATACCATTTCCTCGACCTAATGACTA